AGGTAGTTTTCTTAGTGCTAGAAAATCACTTGCCTCTCAAGCAAATAAAGCTATGCATCTTTTATATAGTAGAATATTCAATCTAGACTTACCTATTGACCTTCAACTTAAGCTTTTCGATCAAACTATTTTACCTATTCTTACATTCAATTGTGAAGTTTGGGGTTATGAAAACCTCGACATTCTAGAAAAAATACATACTGATTTTCTCCGAAAAATAACTCATTGCAGAAAAAGTACACCTTTATATATGTTATACGGTGAACTAGGTCGTTATCCCCTAGAGATAATAATCAAAACGAGAATAATCAGCTTTTGGTCTAAACTTTGTACTTCACATGAAAATAAGATATCTAGACTATGTTATAACTATATGTATAGATCTGCGTTAAATTTTAAATGGATTCGTCATGTACAGAATATACTTGATAATACTGGTAATACCTATTTTTGGTTAAATCAAAATCTAATAGAAAATCGTAATATTCACAAGAAAATTAACAGATGCCTAATAGATCAGTTTTATCAAACATGGTCCGGTTTACTAAGGAATTCATCTAAAGGAATAAACTACATGATATTTAAATATGCACCAATTTTCGAACATTACCTAAAACTTTTGCCATATAACCAACGTATTATTTTTTTTTCATTTTATAACTGGCAACCACTGTTTACCAGTCGAAACTGGCAGATGGCGTCAGTCTTTTGTAGAACATGATCAAAAGAAATGCATTTTATGTAATCAAAATTATATTGCTGATGAATTTCACTTTATATGAAAATGCCCTTTCTTTTGTCTTGGTAGGAGAAGTCTAATTCAAAGTAAATAGTACAACCGACCGAACACACTCAAATTCAAAGAACTGATGCAATCAACTTCATTCTCTTTACTAAAAAATGTTGCTATTTTTCTCTAAACGTATAATGTCATTTTTCAATAAATGATTCCTGTTCATTTTATATGAGATATAGCCTAGATACAAAAAATACAATAGCTTTCTTTCAATATGCCAAATTTGTTTATTTACTTTTTATGAAGGATATTTCCTTGTTTAACCTGTCAGATGCTTACATTTTGTTGATTTTTGTTTACTTTATTTTCCTATACTTCAGAGGTTACCTGTAATTCCTATATTTTGTTTGTTTTTGTTTACTATATTTAACAGTACTTCAGTTGTCACTCGTAATGTAACCGGGAGCAATTATTGAACAAACATAAAGCAACGGTTTCCAAATATATATATATATAAAAAAAATAGTAATAGATAAACAATGTTAAGAAATAACTTACCCAGTCAATCGATTGAATCTTTTTGTTGTTACTTTTTCAACTCGTGTGTTAATCCATTCATTTCTTCATTTATAAACTGTATTCCATATTTATATAAACACACGTGTACACATTCACAAGTCGCACGAGATCTCCAATTACTGAACTGTAAACACCCACTTTGCAGTGCCACACTTGTGAATGTGTACTACGTAAATTGCTATATAAACGCTAAAGTGATTGTACAATTTAAGATTTGATGACCATAAAATATAAGTATATAATTTTAAACTGTCCCCTTTGTTGATAAAATAATAATGATAATTAATTTTAGTAAATACCCTTTCCACAATTTATATTCATACCATAATCTGCATGCAAACTGCCATGTGTATATATATTCTATTTTTGTCTAAGTGATTAAATCATGTTGTTCTCATGTATTATGTACTGTAGAACCTGATTGTAAATAAAAGTATATGTCTGTCTGTCTGTCTGTCTGTCTGTAACAGATTATGTAAATTATATAATCAAAGTGTTATTAAATCTGATTACCATTTTTTGCTAAGTTGCAATAAATTTGATGATTTGAGAAGAGAATGTACTTAGGAAATATCACACGACCAAATCAATTAAATTTTAGCAGGTAACTCGTATGTCAACAAAAAGTTAAATTAAACTTTACAAAATAGCGAAATTTATAGTAGAATCGTTGAAATGTAGAAACAATTATTTGGAATTTCTCACAGCTTCTTATCGAATAATTAAATGCTTATCTCTGAAGTATAACATTTTAATGATATCTTTTTATTCACTCAAACATGCGAACAACATGTAAAATGAGGATACAAGTCAAAATGGTTGACGAGGCATTTATACAAATTTAAGTACTAGAAAAAACTATCGAAACACAAGGTTGATTCGTAAGAGGGGACGTAGCCCCCGACTATAAATCAGATTGCCGAGTGTTCTGATGTCCTTTCTCTTTTGTAGCATAGTCAAAAATAAAAACGCGTTCCATGTCACCCTAAAAAAGTAACCAATGTACGAGCATATGAATATGACTTTTGTATCGTTATCTCTTTCCCTGTCGTCGCAATATGTAGACCCCAGAAAAATGAGCCAATCAACATCATGCTCTAGACATACAGTAAGTTCGGGTATCAAATACATGTCGATAGAAAACATGTAATTAATGAATATCACTAAAATCATGTCTCAAAATAATACAAAATCACAACTGACTTTAAAATGCAAACATAAATATGTGATAACATTCGTACGTTTCTTATACATGTAATTATCATTAACAATTTACACAATTTAAAGAATGTTGACGAGTCTTTTTGACATTGGAAAAGGTTGTTCTAATTTATTCATATACGGACATCTATAAAACTAGAGTTTAATATATTATCTTTAGTAACGATACTCATCACCGATTATGTTTCTAAAACAAATACACATTCTTTCATTAAGTGGTAAATTTGTGCAACTTCAAGTTTCAACTGGTACTATATGGTTTCTTGTTTTTAATTTGATAAAATTGAAAATTATTTTAGCTTTTGTCTTACAGTTTATTTCAAACATTTGGTACCGTGAAAATTATAATCATTCCAAACATGGTTGAAACCGCATTTTATCAATATTTATTTAAAATATGTAAATCCACGGATAATACTTTCAGGATCATTATTATTAATATTTACAGTATTTCTTAGCATAAAATTATATACAAAGTATATGACAATTTATTTGGTATTAAACATTTTTTGTTCAGAAGGAGGCGGATCCAAAAGGAAACTATTCTTTCCCCGATACCGACACAAAATTGCATGCATACGGTGGCACAAATGTCGCATTTGTGCGTTTTTATTTATCTGGTGCGCACGAGATACTATGTGATGGCCACGAGTTACTAAGTCTAGGCCACAAGATATGTAAGTGGTGCGCACGAGATACTTTGCAGTTGCCACGAGTTACTCATTCGTGGCTACGAGATAATTAAGTGGTGCGCACGAAATACTTTGCCATGGCCACTCGTGCGCACCACGATTTACTAACCCGTGACCACGACATAGAATTTCGTGCGCACCACTTAATTATCTTGTGGCCACGATCTATCGCATAATGCACAACAAGCTACAAGATGAATGTACAAATAGATTAAATTTACCAATTGACTTACAAGTTAAACTTTTCAATTAAACTGTTTAACCAATATTATTTTATGGTTATGAAATTAGAGGATAAGGTAATCTTGACGTTATTAAACGTATACAGCTAAACTTTCTTAGATATATCTTATATAGTCAGTTCAATAAAAACAAACGCTTTTCTTAAGCTTTCGGCGTTTAGTCTTCTTCAGAAAAAATTGACGTTTTTTTTTTTTTTTTTTTTTTTTTTTTTTTTTTTAAAATATATCTTAAAACTTAAACAGCGAAACGGGATGCATGTACGGTGGCACAAAGGTGACATTAGTGCGTTTTTATTTATCTCGTGCGCACGAGATCCTATGACATGCCACGAGTTGCTAAGTCGTAAGAGTAAGGGAGATAAATTTCCCACCGATATTACAAAGGAAAAACTTTGACAGTGGAGAATTTAACTTCAATCAAGATTTTATTCCTTTGTATATATTTTGTATAACCTGCAGACATTTTCCTTGTATATAAACACTCATTAATTTTTATTTTTTACCATAGACCGTTTCTCCACACAGTATCGAATGCTGTTTTAAATCAAATAAATAAGCATAATAGTTTTTTTCCAGTGTTATTTAAATATCTATTGGTGTGGTGTAAAATTAATTTATTATCAGGGCTGAGAAACTTTTTGCCTCCATTCTGCTTGTGTACTTATAACTACATGTTTTTAATTTGTTTCATTTCATAAGTTAAAAATGCCTTTTTAATTACATGTATATTGATATTGATGTCCTTGCCATATAGCGTATACTTGTAAATGGCCAAATGTTCATTGTCGATTTGCCAATATATTTGAAACTTGAAAACTATTATTAATAATAGCCAAGGCCGTTCCGAATTGTACTTCCCTTTTTTTTGGTAAATCCCAAAATAATAAAAAATTTCAGAAAAAACCATTTTTTTCAATAGAATCTAGTACAAAAAATTTGGCCATTTAAAAAAATTTAGATATAAAACAAAAAGAAATTTTGGCAAAAAATGTTTTTGGAATTTTTAAAAAATGGGAAAAACAGTTTTTAAATCCAAAAAGGGAATTTTTAAAAAATTTATTTAATGTCTTTAAAAATCCAAAATTTTTAAGAAAAAAATTTTGACGAAAAAAGGGAAATTTAAAATATTCAAATTTTTTTAAATTTAAATTTTTGTGAGATAGTAATAAAACCTGAATATTCTTTAAGGTCATCATTTACATCGGTTCATTAAAACAATTAAGTTTGTTTGAACAATAATCTATACTTACCATTTCAGATAATTTTACGTTAAAAACGATATATGAAAATGCCGTAATAATTGCAAATTTGTGGAAATATCATAATCATTTTTTCTTTAGCATTTTACATATGAATGACGGCTTCAATACACATGGATTTTTTTCTTATACGCATTAGCATTTGTAAACATCTGAATTAGTATTTTTGTTTAAACAAATGTGTATCAAATATGTATTTAAGAAAGAGCTTTAGTGAAAAGCCCGTAATGTATATACAATCACTAAAATGTGACAATCAATTTAAGGTTCATAATGGTTGTTGGGACAATAGCTGCGGTAACTGTTGTATGCATTGGTGGAGCGAGAATTCAGCCAATTACTGCTGGCGCGACGGCTGGAGGAACAATTGGATCAACCGTCCAAGGTGCTGGAAAGGGTTCAGCAGTGAAAAAAGCTGTGTGTGTAGGAACAGCTGCTGGGGCGATAGCTGGTGCTGTAGCAAATGCCGGAACGGATGCAGGGACGGGTGCTGTTGCATCTGGTGCATTAATTGGTGGTTTAGCCGGAGGAACAGTCGCTGCCGGAATAGGTGGTGTAAGTGTTGGAGTTGGTACGTTACACCGATTTATCATTCAAAATGTAGGCTTTTCTAGGGAAGTTAAATTCTAATGTACATACTTTATACATACTAGTATGTCAACAACATATTGAATATTATCATAAAGAACAACAGTATCTGAATGAAGATAATATATGTTTTGAATAAAATGTTTATTGTCAATATAACATCTTTGTGTATACATGTATGTCTTAGTGGAGATCACATATTATGACTGTAAAAACTTCGCTTAAACTATTTTCCAAAGTGAAAACTAAAATGATTTTTTTTATAAAATTCGGAAAATCGGGAACATACGGTAAATGATGGATTTACGTCATTTCAATAAACATCTCATTCTCTCTTCTCTTTCGATTTCAGATTCGCTTCTTGCAAATATGAGCGCTGATGGCTTAGCATTGTTAGCAGTTGGTGCAAGTGTTAATCAAGAAGATGATGAAATAAGCTATGATTGTTGGAAGCCTGTGGTGCATGATACGTCTCCGGAAAGATCAAATGGGATGCTCCTCAAAGACATGGTGTGCCATCCTAATGTTGCAAACGTTACCATGACAACGGGAATATGTGACAGCCTTCCGAGTATCCTCATTGAAAATATTTGGAACGAAACGTTTGAGATCGAATATGTATTTGTACACAATACGGGCAAGATAGCGTGCCATGCTAAACATCTTTGAATTTGAAATAGGTAAATATTAAGTATATGTGAATCAAATAAGAAACCTATTTCGCTTTGTATAATGAAAATATTTTTTGTTTCTTTTATTTTATATATTTTCTTTGCTAACAGAATATCAATTTCAATGAGGGTATTATATATTGTTGAATTCAATTCTAAATTATATTGGACGAGAACATAAATCTACATTGGGCAAGGCGCTGCTAGGTTTTGCAGCTGTGTACGCGTCAAATAGAAACAGTATTGTTCTAAACAAAGTCTAATGACCTCTTTATTTCACAATTATGACATTTTGACAGACCTTAATACATTAAGGAATTGATATAAATAAATGTTTACCCTGAAAATTGAAATTTGGCTAGATGGAATACAATATGCATTTGGTAAATATAATTAAGCCTCGAAAAATGAAAAAGAGGCTATAAGAGGTGTGATATGCATTTGAAATAAAGATTTTGGACTATGAAATGAAAACGACACTTATGCCAGAAATGTGGTGTGATTTGATATGGATGTTTTAGACTCAGTAAATTGAAATGAAGCTAGATCAGATATTGATTTCTATTGAAACATCGCGTGGTCCAAACGCTGAACATTCATCGGTTTTTTATTTTGTAAAATTTGAAATAATCAATTATATTTACTCGGTGATTTACGAATGAATTGATATATGTGCTTGTCTAATTTAAGAATCAATATCAAACCTGTTTGAATGATACGAGTTATCTAAGCTCTTGGAAATGCACTGATTAAATGCACATTTAGTACAGGAACACAATTATTCCATCCAAAGTTATATATGTCTGTAAGACAGTTTTTTTCTAATCTAATTCAAAGATTTTTTACCAGTTTAAATAAGTGTTTGAAATACCATGGTGCTGTATATAAGCACAGTGTGATTGATTAAATTTCAAGATAAATTAAAAGCTGGCATTGATATTAATTGTTTTTGATTTTCATTTACAGATATGTGTATATTTTCAGATGAAAGAAAGTTGGAGTTAAATGGTGTGCACTATTTTTTACTTCCAGGATTATACAAAGTGTTTGCATTTATTTCGAGACATTTTAGATGACATATAATTTATTTTGTGTTATATTTGCATTTGCATTTACAAAAAAAGAAGTCTAAAACTTTTGATCTGATTATTTTATTAAATTAAGATCTTATTATTGTAGGTCTTCTTTTTTCTTTTCAAAACAAATCATTACATTAAGTGAATCATGTTAACTATGTATTTTTTTATTAAGATATATATAAACATGCGTGTAAGTTTGTGTGTGTACGCGTGCACATGTAAGTGTGCGTTAAACTAACGAATCGAATTATATTTTTGCATATAGAGTAGAAAATCTACATTTTGACTCGACACTATAAAGAGAATAAATCGACATGATATAAAATGTAATGGTCACTCAACAGGGTCTAAAGAAAAAGTCAAATATTTGGTCCTTTGAATCAATGGCCATGTCGGTAACACAAAAAATCCAATGGTTGGTTAAACTGTCTGTATAAAAAAGTAAGTTCCTGGATGATATTGAAAAAAAAACTTCTGGTCTCCTCCAAGAAGTTTGACAATGTAATTTTGACAATGCCTCTGTTGCTTGACTCAGGCTTTGAAAAATCAGTTACTGATAACGTTTGTTCTCGATCTGGTCACATGTAGGTCTTGACCAGTTTTAAAGGTTGGAACTTGGATGGTTACCAGTTGCCAATGGAGTTGACCAAATTACTCTTTCTCATGTGTATAAAATCCATGCTGGCAAGGCCCCTCAGTTTCTAAGTGAAAAGTTCACTCAAGTGATTTCAATTCACTAAAACCCCTCTTTGTTCAGGGTAACAGTCTGTCCCTCAATTGATGGTCCAGAAAAGCCATTTGTTGATAGCTAGAGATATACTGTTCCTGTGGTGAAAGGATTTGATCAAAAGACTTGAAGTTACAGTGGTTGCTGTTTACGGAACTCTCTATCACATCATAAGGAATGCCTATTCTATTTCTATAAAAATAGAGTTAAGAAGCATCTTCTAAGTATAGTTGATATGTATTATTTAAAGTTGTCTTTAGTAAAATTTAGTACTGAAATTTCTATTTCTTATGTTATAAGATTTTCTTAATTTTGAATTATATGCAGTGACTCAACATTGAAATTGTATACTTTGATTGTGTGATACTGTTATCCATTTTATTGTACGTATTAAATTCTTTTACTCAGTTTATTCCTTGTTACACATTCAACACAATCTGTAATGCTACTATTATCAGTCATTAAGTGATAATTCTTAAATCTCGGTTCTTATTTATTATTGATGACTTATTTATTTTACTGTGATACATATATTTTAGGGCTGGGAACGTATAATGAATTTGATGTTCGAATATTTGTTTTCCATATTAGAATATATTCGAATATTCGTTTTTACAACATTTGTTCCAATATTTTTCTTCGAGATATACGTATTCAAAATTGATTGCGTCGAAAAATATGTTTGGAATAATCGACGATTAAAAAGACCTTTGTTATACAATGTCAAAGTTTTTTTTATTTTATTCATTGTCAATCGATACATATGTTTACTTTTGAAATAAATTTTAACTTCTACGTTGTTTACATTTGGAAGACATGCATTCTTTTGAATGCTCGGCCTGCTGATGATACACCGCCAATAAACGCTACGATAACCACGCTGATTGCTGTTTTGCGGCAATAGCCCCTGTTGAGGTTCTGGTACCCTCGAGCCTATCACATGACCAGTGGAGCTCACAGTGATGGAGAAACACCGGTTGTTAATATTGACACATCAAAATCGACAAATACAGCCATTAAAGCAGCACGCCTCCAGATTCATGCTACTTTTCATGAAAATTTTGAAAATGTATTAAAAAATAAAATATTGTGAAGTGAATAAAGAAAATAATTTTCACATTGCAAATAGGACATACAACGCATGTAAATTGCCAGAAAGAGGTCAAAATATGCAAAAATAGTTCTTATTGCGTAGTAACGCAATAAAAATATGGTGAAAAATGCTGCTAAATCGGTCATAATATTGAATCTTTTTACTGTTCTTATAAACAAAAGTCCTTTTTTCTTACATTTGATTTTCTTGAAATAGTTTGGTTCATCTAGAGGCATGCAGCTTAGAAGTCATTATTATTATTATTAGAAATCATTATAGAAAAAAAACATATAAAAATGATGTGCAATTTAAATGAATATACAAGACTTATATTGAATTTAATTCACGTACAGTTGTATGCGTGACTAAGAACATTATGTTAAAAAAAGTTGAATGACTTGGCAGCTCTGGTAATTTGAGTGCATTAACATCGTCTGCAGATGATTTAGGTTTCAAGTTTTATTGAATATATATTCCAGTTTGCATATTTATAATACAAAAACATGAGACAAATACATTTGTATAATAATAAATAATAATAAAGAGTCACGTGAACATGTGAGGGCAACACTGAATATATTACATGTTATTTTCCAATGAATGCATAATAAAGAGTGTTCTGGACGAAGGTTGCTGGTTCGAAGCCGAGAGGCCATTGTACATCGCAAATCAGTCTTATACAAGAAGAAAATACAACAATTTTTTGTAATAACTTTTTTATTTCTTTTGGCGAATAGTTTCCATCATGACTGGGTATAAAAGCACTTTAGGAACTTTAAATACACATCATATTTGCTCCGACAACGGTCGCAAATAGAAAAACGTTATGTTAAATTTCAGCCAAAAAGGGACTCGAAGAATGAGAGGACCTTCCGCCAAAGCGGTTTAACATATAACTCTATAAGTTAATATAAGAAACATGATTTATATATAAATTGTTTAGGAATAACTAACAACCAATACTGATAAAAGTGACAAATCTGTCTTTACGTCACTAAATCACATCGGGAAGATAGGCTGAATGAATAAATGGCCTCGGAAATATTATTTAGCATCAGGTCATACAAAAGAGCATTCAAGCAGACAATGACAACAAATTTAAGAACTAGGTAGGTGCTGACTTTAATATCAGTGGTCTCAATAGTGAGGTCAAATTAAGAATAAAACAATGAATTAGGACCGAATCTGGTGGTCTTAAAAGTGGATAAGCGGGGTGGTCTTAATTCTGGATCATGTAACCATTGATATAAAGAACAGAAAATTCCATTCTTTTAAAAAATGGTCTTAATAGCGGGATGGTCTTAATTCCGGGGTGGTCTTAAGGAGGGATTCTACTGTATATTATAGCTACTGGGAGACAAGTGTGTATCGTCGTACCTAAAGAACATTGGGGCTAGAGTTTATATACCGGTATTTTAGGTAGTGACCCCGCCATTTATTACATTGGTGACTATAGAGCTGTTTTATACGTTTTCTTGCTCGGTCAGCGTGATATCACGCCATGATCGCCTTGGTAAATTATGTGACCAAATTAGTTTTGTATATGGAAACTTACTTCTGATATTATCTATAATTATTTTGAGATCCGCAATAATAGCCGCAGATGTTTTAAGGCCTATATCCTTGCCTCCACAATGAATACGAATACAGGTTTGGGTTCATTCTGCTTAAAGGAAGTTAAGTAGGCTATACTTTGTTCGAGATCCTCGATTTTCATACCACCCATATGTTCCCATACAAGATTACCACCAATAGTGTTCCTTAACCCTAGATTAACACCGTCTGGTGTTGAACACAGTCTCTGATATGCACCGCTTAAAATGAAGGAACCAGTGTAAAGAAGGAACCAACAATGCCTTAAATTAAAAACCTAGATTAAGATTTTAACAAAAAATTTAAAATATGATCAGCAGCTACCTTTCTCATAGAGATCCAGAACGAAAAGGATGCAGCAGGCTCGCGCAGCTCCTTATATAGTGTTCTAAACATATAGCTCTCAGACTGAGCATGCGTATTGATACGCAGTACAACTGATTGATAGATTAAGACATGTGTCATTCATGTAAATAAG